TATATATATACGTAAGTAGTCGCGAAGAAGAAAACTTTGTGGTCAGCTAATGGTTCTCTGCAGAGATTCTAGCAGGTGATAAGAACAATCGACCAACTCTCTTTCCAACCAACTTTTTCTTTTTCTTTTTTTTCCTGCATCAGTACCTATTGAAAGAGGATCAAATTTTGTTCAATCAGACGTTGGATTTGATTTTATGCTGCTGTATAATGAATGACTCGCATTTACTTCATTAGAAAATATTCCTCTTTCATGGTGTATAATATCCTCTTCCATTTCTACTAGCCGATGGACGAAATGTCGCGTCGTAAGACTTGTCTAAATCTAAAATCGGCTCGACGGTGGCGAGAAGCCACTCATTTAGCAAATAAATTTTCATCGACTTCGATACGAAGAGAGAAAAATAAAGGGGAAGCGTAACTCTACTCTCTTATTATTCCAATTAAAATAACGAGAGATTTCCGGCGAGTGGATTATCGGCGTGTAACATTGCGAGACGTTCAAGGTGACTATATGTATATACGTTACCCTCTGCGCGAGTAAGTTTACACCTATATAACAAGCACTGACATCCATTTATAAAATGTTATCCGTGCTAATGCATTTATGACGATTTCGTATGAATTTTTAACAGCTCTTCGATACTGTAGTACTATTATACGACGTTTGTTTTTTTTTTTTTTTTACCCCTCTATAGCTCATAATTATGTTATACTATGACAAACTATATACGTATATATATGAATGACGTAATGATATTAATTTAAAAAAGCAGCGAGACTGAGGTCTATCATCGTAAAAGTGCACTTACTGTGACTATACGAATTTTTTACAGGCACGCGATAATAGTGTAATCGCATGGCCCAATAAGAATAAAAACTTTTTAATGTATACATAATTGATGTTGGCCGCATAGTTCATCACAACTGACGTAAGAGGCAAAACTGCGAAAGCTCTCGACACCAAGCAAAGTCTAAAATCAATTGGTAAATGAAAAAAGAAAAAAAAAGCGAGGGGGTGGTCACAAGGAAATGTACGCACACGACACACGAGAGTTACCTGTACGGTATAATGAAAGCGGCGTTCAATCTCTCTGTGGTGTGCATTATATATATATCTCTCTGGGCGGGGGGGGTGTGTTTTTTTTTTTTTTTTTTTTTTTTTCTCTCGAGCGCCTCGTCGAGCAACGAAACACCCTAGTTGGCACATATATATACACACCGTACGAAGCTATCGGGTGTCGCGCAGACACGACTTGGATTAGCGTCGGCCTGTACTTACGTACACACGTACACAGCACGTCTACGTAAGAACTTTCTGGCTTAATAATGGTGATAGTGGTTCAATAAACACGCGACATTTGGATACGTGGGTATACTCGGCATGAATATTTGGCGCACGTACATATGCGCGCGCGTCGGGACACATAGTACCATGATATATGGAGCTTTGGATTTCACTCTCTATCACGGATACGAGAGCATGTAAGCCGATGACGTTGCGAGCGGGTAACCGTAGAACCCCCCCCCCCTGCAACTATTCACGATGATCATTATTGTTATTATTATTGTAAGTCAGTTTTCTCTTTCGGTGTGCACATGCTCTGTGACCAATGAGCGGTGAGCTTTTGAAAAATAACGGTGTATTACCACAAGTAGTGAAATTTTGTTGTATAAACATATTACGCCGATTTTTTATCGATCAACATGCATGTGTAAATAAATGGCACCCTTTCGCTATTCCTACAGGGTGTATGTCAATATATATTGTATTGTCAAAAAAATTTATTGCACAATTTTTTTTCCCCCACCTGCGAATCCAATAAATATTAATTTAATCTCGAAATTGAATTTGACATATAGTGGAAAAGTACAAGGTGCATGCGGGAAAAACTTTAGCGTGAAGGTAATGGGTGTAATGTGTATGTATATACTGTCAAAAAGCTCGTGACGTATATGGCGTAACTTAAGATATATGGTATGCATATATATATGTGGATAGGGAGCTTCTGGCGAGTATAACAACCTAAAACAAGATTAACCGCACGCAGCGCGTTAACTGGAGAAACGAGGAAGTCTTCCTCCGGGTCAACGTATCGCGTGCACGAAGGTGTGCTCGTACGGAAGGTGCATGTGATGTACTACACACGGAATGCCACAAACAGCTATATGTGTGTAGAGACGTGGATGGCGCGTTGGGATAATTTTCCATTTATCATTTGTAATCCCGAAAATCGTCACCCTTCGGGCAAATTAACAAGAAGGGATTGATATCTTAATCGATCGTTTTCTATCACCCGGTTTCTACGTGCCATCGGTAAAATTAAGAATTCAAGGTGTTCCTTTTGAAACCAATGAGACAAGCAACTTACCGATTATCACACCATGAAAGCGGCCGTGCGACACCCAAGGTATAGCTCCTCTTCACCAAAACTCCGGTCTCGTCATCGCAAAATCTCCTTCCCCTCTTCCCAGTCGAATCGATTCTTTTATTTTTTTTTTTATTTCCCCTCGAAAATCGGCAACGTCCAACGCGAGCTAATGTACCCGCGCCGCTCTCCACGCTGACCAACTGACGACTAGAGAGCGCGTGCAACAACACAGTGGCACTTGTAACGTACCTGTATTGCGTTCAATAAAATATTATTAAAAAAAAAAAAAAAAAAAAAAAAAAACATGACTCACGGTGTCGACGATGTAAGGTGCTATGGAGTGCGCGAGGATCCCGACAATGTGAATCATCCCGACTCCCTGAGCCCGCACGGGGGTGGGCAGCAACTCAGCGGCGTACTGCAGTCCCACGTTGGCTGCCATGTTCAGAGCGAACCGGGANCCTGGAGATTTACACAGAAAAAAAAAAAAAAAAAAAAAACAAGGCACATACGTCGTGCGTCTCTGTCTCTCGCGGTGATGGTTCCGCGCGCGCTAACGTTAACGGCGAGTCTGACTGCCGATGCAGGTCCGAGCGGGTGTGTGTGCACTATGGGGGGTGTAGTCGGCGTAAGATTGCGGTGTATACCCCCCTCGTCGTCGGGGACTTTTACGCTCCACTTCCCCGGGCGAGAGTTTGTTATGTGTGCATGTATGTATAAATGTGTACCGATTATGTGTTGAAAAGCGCAGAGAGAGTGGAAAGTAAGAAGGAGTTGAATTATCGGTGGGGCATTTTTTTTTTTTTTTTTTTTTTTTAAAAAAAAAAAAAAAAAAAAAAAAAAAAAAACACCACGTGCAACAACTCTCTCCACCAATTGTTACTATATTCTACGAATGGAGACGAAAAAAAAAAAAAAAAAAAAAAAAAAAAAAAAAACACCACGTGCAACAACTCTCTCCACCAATTGTTACTATATTCTACGAATCATTTTTCATAAAAAATAAGCAGCACCACTTTTTCACGGAACGTCAAATCACGAAAGCTCCTTCCTCGGCGCACAACAACGACGAGACCCCGGGCAACAATGACTGAAGAAAATCGTGCAAGTAGAGCGAAAAAGCTCTACCGTGTGCCAAAAAAAAAAAAAAAATTAAAAAAAAAAAAAAAAAAAACTTACTCTTTTTAATTATTGGTAAAAAATGCGATTTTTGAAATTCATTAAGTGTTCCCAGCAAGGTATAACTTGGCGCGCAATCCGTTAAAGTTTGCTCGTCCTGGAGCGCTGTAAAAGTTTCCAGGTGTCTCACTCTAATTAGGACGTTTAAACATCGCATTGCGGGAGTTTAGCTCGAGTTAATTAAATTTGTCGTGCTCCAGTGCAACGTACCTACCGTATGGTATTTTAAAACATTGATCGTTACGCCAAGTTGTTGTATTTCTTGAGTCTTATTTATTTAAAAATTAAGTATGGATTTTATATATATATATACGTATGTGCAGTTACCTTTAATTCAGAGTCGCTCATTGTAAAATAATTTCAAGCGGCAAAGTGACAGTTGATGCATGAAATCATATACTGTTGATTTCAAAATGATGCGGCAAGAGACGTCGTGTAAAAGCGCACCCGAATGTATTTAAATATCCGTACATACTTTAAAAAAAAAAAAAAAA